GTTTAGGGTTTAGGGTTTCAGTATTTAGGGTTTTAGGGTTTTAGGGTTTTCAGGGTTTTGCGAGGGTTCTTTGTAGGCGAACCCCCGTGCCGAGCCTCCCGGCCACAGACATTGGAGTTCTGGCTTCAGGCTTGCCCTACACCCCCCTAAAACCCTAAACCCTAAAAGAGGGGCCTCAATAATTAGAGGAGGGCTTTGGGGCCCATTATACTATACTTATAATAAGGAACCCCCAAAAAAATAGTGTTGGTATCTAGGCCCCTACACTATCTGAACACCTATAAGCTGTCGGTGGTATTGGAATCCCAGGATCAGGGGTTCCCAATCTTTTTTGACAGCCCCCAAAGAGCCAAACTTAAAACCTCGAAATCCCCCTAAACCCCACGGTTTAGTGTTTAGGGTTTGGGGGTTCAGGGGTTTAGGGGTCACGGTTCAGGGTTTAGGGTTCAGCGGTTCAGGGGTTTAGTGGTTTTGGGGTTGTGGGTTTGGGGGTTTAGGGTTGGTACTTGCGTCAGTTCACTCAGGACAAACCTCTGTTTCGGAGATCTGACAGCCCTTAAAACCCTAAACTCCCTACAACCCCTAGAAACCCTAAAACCACTAAACAAAAACCCAGAAACTCCTAGAAAGCCTAAACCACATGTACAAGAGATTCCAAGCTCAAACGATGGTCGCAAGAGCCGCAAATACTCTCAAAGCCTGAAGACCCCCAACACAAAGGAACTAAGACAACGGTTTAGGGATTAGGTTTTAGGCCATAATGGTGATAACATAGAGAAATCAGTCATAACAGCAAGACATAGCAAAACAACACGTCAGACTGCAACCGAAAATAATGATAACTGCCATAACAAAACACAAGTAACCGTGACTGCTAGCAAGATGATACAGCTAACAATCGCAATCATTTTCACACTAATAAACATAAGAATTCTCTCTGTTGTATATACAGACCTAGATAGACAGATAGATAGATAGATAGATAGATAGATCGCTAGATAGCTAGATAGCTAGATAGATAGATAGCTACATAGATAGATCGATAAACAGATGGATAGATAGATAGATAGATAGATAAATAGATAGATAGATAAATAGATAGATAGATAGATAGATAGATGGATGGATCGATGGATCGATAGGTCGAGAGGTCGATAGGTCGATAGATCGGTAGATAGTGAAATAGATAGTTAGATAGACAGATGGATAGATGGATCGATGGATCGATAGGTCGATAGGTTGATAGGTCGATAGATCGGTAGATAGATAGATACACAGACAGACAGATAGATACATACATGCATACATGCATGCATAAAGAGAGAAAGAGAGAGATAAAGAGAGAGAGAGAGAGAGCGCGCTGCCTTGGCAAGGTTTGTCATGGTCTCTTTCTGCTCTCGGCAGCAGGCCTTCAGAATAGAATTGCCGCGAAAGCGACAAGCCCTTCAGTTCCCAAGGCTTCAAGCCGGTTTGGGCATGAAGGCTGAAAAGGTTCAGGGGCAAGGTTTGGGGCCTTACGTTGATGGCTTAGGGGTGTTCGCAAAGGGAGGCATTCAAGAAAGGCACAAATCTTGTGATGTTTGCGGCGCCAGTTGAGAGGCTGTTGCTGCAGAAACGCCTGCACCCATGAACCAGTAAACTGTAACCCTAAACCTAAGCCCCTTAACGGTATCCCGCAAAGAAACATCAGTTCCAGAGACATATAGAGGATGCTTGATCCTAAGAAAGATGGAAGAGCGCCATATCGAATCATCGTCATCGTAACGAGCCCTGAACAAGGCAAACAGGTCCGAGGATTCCAAGAGGGCTTGGGGGTGCAAAATACTCAGCGAACCCGAAAGCTGTCTTACCCCTAGTTTCCCTAAACCTTAAACCCAAAACCCTAAACCCTCCCCACACCCCTGGACTCGGACCTTCAGATCCCAGGTCTAGTCCTACTCTCCCTTTCTATGGGTCTGGGAAGTTGGAAGTTGGAAAGTGCACTGGGAACCACAAGACCACGGCTGACAATCCCATAGGGCGCCGTCCCTCTTCGTGAGGAAGGACACCGAAAATAAAATCATCTTAAGGCTGCTCCTCAACCCGAAACCGTCGAAGGTATACTGCTTGCTTCAGGCTGAGGTCTTTGGGGCTTTCAGGCTAAAGGGTCCGGGGCTTTGGGGTTTTAGATTTTGGGGCCTCGGGGCTTTAAACCCACTCGTAGAACCCTATGTAATCGGCAAAGACACCCAAAGACGCAAGCACAAGACAATTCTCCGGAAAGCAGATGCGGCTTTTAGTGCGCATTCCCCAGAGCACTGATCGTCAGTACATACGCGGGCCCCTGGGAGCCGACACATTATCGATGTTGGTTTCAGCCAACGGAACTTGCCGGAATTACATCGGCAACACTTTGTTTTGGCTGAAACCAGTTTTGCCAGAGGCCATCCAATAGAAAAAGGCATTCCTTTGAGGAATCCAGGTCGGTCTGGATGGTATCAAATCCGAGCTCGTTGAGTGTCCATCTTCCCTTTGACATCATATGACGAAGGAAGCTACTGCCAGTGCTTTTGGTCAAGGAGTCAGAAATCATATTGCGACCATCAATCCACCTAATGGTACCTCCGTGAGCAAGCTCGTTCTTGATGATCGAAATGTCTATGGCCGTTCTTTTGTCATCGATCTGACTGTAGGGGCAGGTTTGCTTGGACAAAGAGTCGTACAAAGACTTCGAATCGGTAACCGCCAAGTAAGGAATCTTAGCCAATGACCGTTCCCAGTCCTGATCGGTGAACTCGCCTCCTTGAGCTTCAAGAAGCAAGAACCTGTGCCAATGAACATTTCCGACGCCGCTGGCGAGGGCCTGACACTCGGCCGACAAGGTGTTCACAACCTTCCGTTTAAGTTTGTAGCTTTTCCAGCTGGAAATGGTCACGGCGGCCGACGGCTCATACTGCAAATCCTGATCATGAAAGATCAGCAAATGCCCTCCCTGGCTACTGGTACGCCGATTCTGAAGAAACTTCTCTGAAATCTCAGTATGATCAAGGCCCTTGGTGCTTTTAACAAACACAGTTTGACCAGTCCAGGCAGAACCAGCCACCAAACTGTCTTGATTCCCGTTCCAGGTGTCCGCTTGCTTACTTTCTTGATTGTCCTGGTTGAAATACGTGGTTCGGGACGCCTCGATCGTATGCAAGTCGGGGCCATTATCAACCATTCCGGGATGAAACAGGGTCCGTCGGGGTTGGACATGTTTCCGAATCCAATGGTCTTGGGTCTCAATCCAAAAATCCCGTCCCGAATCTTCGGTTGATCCAGTACCCTCGGCATTGCCCCAGGATGCATCCGTTACAGCGCTAATCCGGAGCCTGGCTATCGGTATCGGGGAGATACGGATACCAACTGGGAACTTTTCGGCTTCTGAGGCCAATTGATTTGCGTTGATGATGTCACGGATCCTAGGCTTAGGAAACTGCTGTTGCAACAGTGACACCCGGCCACACAAATCCGGTCGTGTCTCCTTAGCAAGCCATGCCAAGGCGCCAACAAGCGATCTTAGCAAGCCAACTTCTTGTTCGTCGCAGTAGGAATATCTCTGGCCTTTCCGGGTCCTGCTAAGTGGGATCTTGTGAACCTTATCAGCGACGTAGTGAAACTGATCAACCAGGATGCTACCATCTTCCTGAGGGGTAAACTGTTTTCCCGTGAACCTGCCACTACCATACTGGAATTTGCCGAGTTTGTACTTCTGGTTCAACAGCTGCATCTTGGCCTGATGAGTCTCATCGCCACCATGAAGCATGTCATCGGTAGCAACTGACACAATGCCGACTAGCTTATCCCAGCCGGTCTTGTTGTCATCATGAAGAAAATAGACGCAAGGGTCCGCAAGGCTTTGGACATAGCCAAGTTCCTCAAGAAGCACTCTCTTCAAATGTCTGAACCAAGCCATCGGACCATCCAACAAACCGTAGCAAGTCTTTAAAAGGCGAAGGAGTTCTCCTTTCTTCATTCCTGGAACACCTTCCGGGGGTTGCTCCGCATAAAGTTCTCTACGAATCGGGTCCCCCGAATGAAAGGCCTGAGTGAAGTCCAAAAACCCAATTTCCAACGCTTGCTAGCAATGACCTGGGCCGTGAACATCACCCCTTCCCTGGTCACTTGAGGAGTCGCCGACTCTAAGTCTTCAGCCCCTTCTTCCGAGAACCCCTTCATGACATGTCGAACCTTTGCCTTGCATGGACCGCCGTGCTCGCCGTGCAAAAGAGTTCCCTCACACTGGGCCTTATCGACATCATCATGTTCGAGCGGCTTTGCCGTACGAACATATCTGGACTCCATGATCCGGTCGGGCTTTTCCCGTCGGATTCGCTCGCTGGTCTCCACATCCAGCTTCTCGTAGGCCTTGGTCTCGAGGTTGTTGTTGATCTCCTTCTCGGTGGCCTTGAGGAAACAGTCCAAGTCTTGTTGATTCACTCAGGTCCTTCAGCCGGATCTCCTTCCGCTGTCGTGTTTTGAACAGCGTCTCGAGCTTGGCGTAGTAGATCTCGAGGAGATGCGTCCGCGACCTCTTGGCCGGGTCTTCGTCGTCGAGAACCTCGGGTTCCGCTGGAGGTTCGCCGTTCTCGTCCGGTGGAGCGGGTCCAGGTAGGCGCTCCCAGATTCCCATGGTCGTGTCCGCCCGGATGGCGCCTCCGTGAGAGTGGTCGACTGCTGGCTCGGGTCGTAGTTCTGGTTCCGCAGTCGCCCGTGCTCGTAGCACATCAAGGCTCGTCTTCTGCCGGATGCGGCGACGGTCCACATTGACCGCTGGCTCCAAATCCATCCCAACGTCCTCCTCGTCCGGCTCGTACTCAATCGTGTCCTGGTACTCGGGTACAGGCTCCTTGCAGAGGTCGATGTAGCCACGCTTCGGTTCCTTCTCGAACTCCTCCTTGGCCTTGGTCAAGCCGTCCAACCAGCCTGTCACCGACAGGTTCTCCTCGATGCTTCCTGGACGGATGCGCTCAGGCGATGCCTTGACGAGGTTTCCCTGGTAGCTGAGCCACACCGTTGATGGCATGTCCGTCATAATGACTCGGGCCGGCCCGTGCCATCTCTGATGAGGTCGGTCGCCTTTCTTGGAGTGCCCCAATCGGTAGAAGTAGACCATCTGGCCGACCACGTAGTCCTGCTGCGGGCAAGGGCCGCCAGCGATGACATTCCTTAGGGCCTGGTCGCAGTCCACTTCGAAGAAGGCCTTGGCTGCTGCCTTCCTCATATTCATCGCACGAACCACTCCTCCGTCACCCAGTCGTAGTTCTTCTCCCGCTTCGGCGTCGTCGTGGCCTTCCGAAAGTAGTCCACCAGGCAGCCGGGGAACATACCCCATCACCCGTTGGATAGGTGAATAGCCGCCTCGTGACGCCAGGCGGTTCTTCATCATCACCGCCGTGTCCACAAGCTCGCTCCATTCCGAGAGGCTGGAGCAGTTATAGTCCGCCATCACCTTTTCCAGGAGCATTTTGAAAGTCCGTCCATGTCGCTCAGCGAGTCCCCGTTGGAAGGGAGATTCCACGCTGCTGGGATCCATGTGGGCGCCCTCCTGGGCGGTCCTGAGTCGGAAGCTGCCCTTGAACTCACCTCCTTGGTCGGCCCAGACTTGTTTCGGTGGCCCGAAGAATCGGACCCACTGTCGGTAGGCACTCCAAACTGCTTCTGGGCTTCGTCCTTTCAAAGGGATGATCATTTGGAAGTGGGAGGCGTAGTCGATGATGTTCAGGGCGATCTTCTTCCGCTTCTGCCCCACTGTAGGCAACCAAACAGTGTCCATGCCAATAGTTTCGTTGATCCCGAACTCGCGCGGTGGTGCCGCCCTCCTGGGTGGCCGTGTCTGTAGGAACTTCTCGCACACACTGCATTTAAGGGTCTGAGCGATCTTGATCACGTCCTCCGATGCCTTTGCGGTCTTCAGGATGCGGATGAAGCGCTCCTTGTGAGGATGTCCTAGACCATCGCGCGCTCGGCGAACCAGCTGTTGTAGAGTTCTGTGACGACTTCCTGGCAGTGCCTTTTCTTCGGCACCTAGATCTACCCCTCCGTCTTCCGGTGGATCAGGTACTGGTTGAACTCCAGGATCGCTCGTCTCTTGGCCTTCACCTTGCGGTGGATCAGGTAATCGAACTGGTCCTGCGCCTCCATCACGTGGTAGGCCTCCGTCTTCCGGTGGATCAGGTACTGGTTGATCTTCAGGATCGCTGGCCTCTTGGTCTTCACCATCGTGTGGATCAGGTAATCGGACTCGTCCTTGATCGTCCAGGCCGGCTCTTACTCGTCTCTGATAGTAGATTTCAGCTTCCGTCGGTGTTCGCCGTAGTTCCGCCTGGTAGGTCTTCTGCCGCTGTCGGTAGTCCCGTTCCTCTTGTAGTAGATCTCGTTCATAAACATCGTCGCGGGGCACACGACATCGGGCGGCTAACAGGCTTCTCAAGGCAGACAGGGCCGAGCTAACAGTCAGACACTTCGTCTGCTGAGAAGCAGACGTTGGGCTGCCTCCCACGTGGCGGCAACACTCATGTCCTCACAACAGCTGCGGTATGGCAGATCAACACCGAGCTCGGCCAGGTTAGTTGCCGTCCTCTCTTGGAGCAACACAACATCTCCTAGCACCTGAGCAGCCTTCTGGGTTCCCTGTTTCACAAGCTTCTGAATCTGCGACATGTCAGCCAGAGAGGCATCCAAGGCCGGAACAACGATGACAAGACATGTGACTTGTGACTGCAGAGCATGAGTGAGTGCTCGCAAGAACTCCCGGGCGTCCTGACTGACAATCAGCGTGGCAAAGTCAAACCGTCAAACCCATGACGGTCACGTTCCCAGAAAGCCTTGGCCTGAACCTTATCCAAACCCAAGCCACAACTCAAGACTTGCTCCCAGGTTCGGGTGTCCTTTTTATCGTCTTTTGAAAAACCCTGCAGTCGTCCTTCCCGGGTGTCCGGGATGTCTTGGGAGTCAATCTGCATCAGCTCGAACGCCGTAGACATCTGTCGGTGGGCCCTCGACAAAGAACTATGCAGTTGCCGACACCTTCGCCGACTCAGGGGTTCCCACGAGTGGCACGTTTCCATGCCAGAAACTCCTGGTAGTCCGCCTGGTGGCTGCTCTCGCTGGCCTCGCTGATCTTGCTGGGGCTGTAGTTCACCTCGGTCGGACTGGCCGCAGGATTGGTCTTCGGCTCGACGCTCAGCAGCTTGTGACATGTGCGGCAGCGCACCCGGGTCACGAAGGCATTCGACCCGGACTGGATCGTGGCCTGATGTCCACACAGGTCCTGGATGATGCGTACCAAGAACTCCCGGGGGGTGTGATCCACCTTCAAGCTCTTCAGGATGCGGTCCCTTGTCTCCTTGAAATCCTCGTCCAGTAGTGGTTGGCGGGGACACCACTGGAACACACTGCATTGGTCCTGCTCGCGCTTGGCACGACAGTTGACAAACACCCGTTGGTAGCTCGCCTGGGTCATGCTGAGCTCCATTTTGCAAACCATGTTGCAGTGACACACCGGCAGCTCGTTCCCCAGGAGCTCCGCGCCGAAGGTGAAGATCTCCTGCTGCTTCATCTTGTCCGTCACCTTGGCGTCGTCCATGGTCATCGTCGAAGTTGCCGTCGGTGTCTTCGAGGCCTGGGACCGTTTCTTGCTTGTGTGTCACCGGCAGCGGTGGAGGGGGTTTTCGTGGTCCGTCCGAGGAACGTGGTGGAGACGACACCGTTGAGAGGCGCCGTCCTCGGCTCCCCGTCACCCCGTTCCAGTGGGTGTACTCCGAAATGGACGCCACCTGCATGGCCGACGAGGAGCTCGCCTTCTCCACCATCTCGAAATCGCACTCGGTGGCCTCCTTCTTTGAGCTTCCGGGTTGATCGCGGCGCCAGTGCTGGAACTTCTTGAAGAGTTCCCGGTCCTCGTTGGTCTTGTCCTTGATCGCCTCGTCGATCGTGAGCTTGAGCTCCTCCAGGCGCGCGAGGTGGAACTCCTTGACATTGAGCTTCACATGCTGGTAGGATCGGTCGAGGGAGTTGCCGACCAAGTTGACCATGAGCTGGATCAGCGGCCGAAAGATCACGCAGACCCTCAGCAAGAGGTTGCGCCAGGCATCCAGAGCCCTGGCCGTCCGCGCCGGGTCGTCCTTCTCGGGGCGTGCTCGCTTGTTGGTCGGCGACGAGCAGTCCATGGCAGACCGGGGGTCCTGGCAGAAGGGCACTACGGCTACGAAGGTTCGAAACAGTTCCCTTAGTGGGACTTGCGAGCTCACCCAGCGACAGAATCTCAAACTCATGATGGGCACTGTGCTGCAAACGTTGTTCTGCTTCCCTCAGGGACCGGAGCATCTTGGCATTGAAGTGGTTCAGGGGAATTCGGAGTGCTCCTGTCGGTCCGATGCACAACGGTATCCTGGCGGCATGCTTTCTTAAGATAAGCATCAGTTTCCCATCAACCAGGCTGATCACAGCATCACCCTGCAAAAGAAACTTCAACGAGATCAAGAACGGAGCCTTCGCACTGTGACCCTGATCAAAAACCGCAGGTTTCAAGTAACAACCCTTTGGCCCTAAGCTACATGGCACGACAGCATTGTATGTCGTCTGCGAAACACCATGCACTGATCGAAATCGATTCACCTCCGATTGTTGAAACCACTTCAAATCAACTGGCCAATGGGGTTTCATGTGGTTCAGGGTGTCAAGTCCAACCGCAGTTCGTTGGCATCCAGTATCTAGAGTAGCACAGGCAGCGTCCTCGAACATGTCACTAGAGCTATACCATAACTCATGCAACCGACAAGACATGTAATCGAGCTCGGAAATTGGGCTGTCGCAATGTGCTGG